GTCAGGATAATCAAATTGTTGATTTTTCGCTTATTTTGAGGCTTTTTAACCGAGCTACATTTTTCTTGGCGGGAGATACTGCACAATGCATTGCTCGAGGCTCCTCCTTTCGCTTCCAAAGTACGTTTGTCATTTCTTTCCAGATGATATCATTTATTTTATTTTATAAACTTTAATAACAATAATATAGGTGTATTTTCCTTGTTGCATCAATGGGAACTCGTTCGGTCACAAATCAACCCAAATTGGAATAGTTCTTTAAAGCCAGAACGATTCGAATTAAATGTCAACTATCGTTCTCACAATGGAATTATTGCGCTTGCTGCATCGGTTATTGATCTTATTCAATCCTTTTTTCCTAATGCTATTGACAATTTGCCACGAGAGCACGGTGAAGTTGGTGGTCCACGGCCCCTAATTTTCAGAGGATATCAAGATGAAACTTCTATTTTTAATTATTTCACCGTTGATGGACAATCAGGTGATACTATTGAATTCGGTGCAAATCAAGTCATTATCGTACGTGATGAGAAAGCTAAGAAAGAATTAGAAGAATCAATTGGAGAAGTTGGCCTAATTCTGACCATTTTTGAGGCAAAAGGCATGGAATTTAATGATGTTCTTTTGTACAATTTTTTTACTGATTCTCCAGCAGGTCAAAAGGTATGATGCAATAATATTTGTTTTGAGTCACCATATACTTAGTACTTAAATTTGTGCCATAATTTCCAGTGGAGGTTAATTCTTTCCGCTATAGAAGGATATTCTGGAGGCATGCAAGCTTTATCGTACGAAAGGCATTTTATACTTTCTTCAGAGCTAAAGCATCTCTATGTGGCAGTAACTAGAGCCCGAGAACACATTTGGATATTCGATAGAGACTTTAGTTTGGGCGAGCCAAGTTTGGGCGAGCCAAGTTCGGCCGAGCCAATCTGGAAATACTGGGACCACCACGGATTGATCAGAACAAAACATGATGGAGACGGGACTTCTTTACCTAATTTGGCTAAGAAAAGTAATTTACATGAATGGAATGAAATGGGAAAACACTTTTTTGAGCGGCGGCAGTATAA